TTTTTTGTTAAAGTAAAATACGAACACCTATTGAATTTGAATTACTCATACATATTAGACATCTGTGAACTTCCTTCCTTTTCTAAACATTCAGAGGATTTTTTTTACTTAGAAAAGAATTGTGACTATATTTTGTAAACTGTCTCAACAGGCCTTACTTTTCTAGAAGACCAGTTTTTAGGTTTATTTTTAAGTGAATATTTTTTGTCTAGGAAGTCAGGAGGGATTTTGTCTAGGAGGTCTGCAGCAAATGAAATAAAATTCTCTTTTTTTTTCCAGCCACAGTTGGTTGCCAGTTACCATGCTGCTGCCGGGACAATGACCCTGTCAGCATCTGCCAGAGCATCCCTAGGAACTGGCCGCTCGGCCTCCCGAGTACCGAGAGGCTTGTTATTATGTTGCTGAGTATTTCTGGGCCTTTGTAATGTGGTCCTGCTGCCCACAGGTAACAAATCAGGCCCCTCACAAATGCACACTAGGGTTTACAAATTAAAATTCAATCCTGGTTGTAGACATAGAAGAGTTATTTTTAAATCTAAGTGAAACATGCTGCACAGCAAACACCAGGTTCTAGCTGCCGCTCTACTTTTGTAGTTAAATACATGTGGCCAAAATAGAAAGGGCTACAAGATTGAATCCATGGAATTTTCAATCAGATGAATTTTATTAGTTACCATGTCAAATGCAAAAAGGGCACAGAAGAAAAAGTAGATACAGGCACTCCCGCAGTTTTTAATACTGATTAGGAATGATCCTTGTGACAAGCCATTGCCACCATCTCTGGCTCCCTGCTATGTCTCTGTCACGCCTCCAGTGCTGAAATTCCTCCCAACTCTGGGAGCTTTTCCTGAAAAATCATACCTGCCTCTCCCCACCATTCCCAACTCAGAGCCTACAAAAATGGGGAGTTGCCCCTAGAATGATATAGCTGGAAGGACTGTCCACATTTAGCCATAGAGAAAAGAGATGTCCTCTGTGTAATATTTTAGGTAAGTAAGGGGTTGTAGAGGTTTTGACGGGAAGCCTTTTATGAATTTGTATTCAGAGTTATAAACTGATATCCAAACAGACCATGTAATAGAACAGTTTCCCAACCTCGAAGCTACGACACTGGCCTGGACAATTCTTTGTCATGGGGTCTATCTTGTACAGTGGCACAGGTAGCAGCATCCCTGGCCTCTACTCCCTTGATGCAAGTAGCACTCCTCCCAGAGTTCTGAAAACCAAACAAGTCTTGAGACACTGACAAATATCGGGGACAGTGGGCAGAAGGATACCAACTCCAGTTGATAAATACACAACAGAGACTATTTAAGAAATTGCCTTTAGGACACAATATGCATAAAGAAAATCTATCCAAGCATTTTTGGGGAAAGGACATATGATAGGCAGAATTTTAACAACCTCTAAATGTGGGTTAGGAAAGAAAGAATTTATAGAGACTAATCCTTTAATTAGGGGGCAATAACACTCAGAAGGCTGGAGTACAGGCTTTGGAATCAGGGAGCTAGAGTGATTTACTACCCATGTGATCCTACTCAAGGTCCTCCAGTGTCTTACCTCTAATATGAAGATAATCAGTCACACCTGTCTATCCTCAGGGTCTTCACATACTGTTTTCCCCTGTGACCGGGATACACTTCTCCTTCCTCTTGGCCTGAATGACTCCTTCTCATCCTTCATGTCTCGGTTTAAATAATCCCTCCTCAGAAAGCCTTTCTGTTTGATCTTCCTGCTACCTGGCTCTCTTGTCACTACCTATCATAGAACTGCTGGAGGGACTCACCGTATTTTATGTTTTTGCCACTATTTTATAAGCTCCGAGAGAGCCAGGATCCATGTCTGTTTACTCAACAGTGTGTCCTGAATACCTGGTGTGGTGGCTGGTCCCCAGTACAGGCTCAACAAATGCTGATGTATGGATGAAGGAATAAAAGAACATGTAAGGTTTTTTAATTACTAGTATCATCATCAGTATCATCTAATGATGTACCAGGTAGACAACTAATTTCCTGTTTAACAAAAATATTTACTTCATTTTTATCAATATTAAGATTGAAATGTCCCTATTAGTAATAGCATATGAAACAATTACAACAGAATGTCTGGATGAACATCCACAACACCTGGGGAACTGTACCAAGCTGGGCAGCCACGCCCTGGGCTATGTTTACAGCATGTCCGATCTGGAAGATCCCATCTAGGAGACTGGGCCCTGGCGGGTACCTCGATGTGCCTTAAGAGCTTCTAGGTCCCAGGCTGTGGGAGGGCACCACTAGCTCACCTGCGGTGCAGGGCTCCCTGGGTCGGCTGTCTTTCTGGCAGGGGGGACACTAACTTTGTTGTTGGCTCACTGGCAACGTAATGTTCTGTTCTTAAAAAATCAAATCACAGGTAAAATATATCTTCTTTAAAGTAAAGGAAATAATTTCAAAGTAATATTCAGATATAGAACAGCAAGGTAGGAATAGGGTTACTATATGTGTTGGAACCATGTTGTTAAAATATTTGTGCTAACAAGAAAGTAACTTTTTAAACATACCACTTTTCACATTTTCTTGAGAAAAATGCTGAGTAGAAAAGAGATAAGTACCAGTGACAATGAACTGAAGTTCCAGGTGTCCAAAGGACCCTAAGAGCTATTTAATTTTATTGAACTATTTCATTTCACCCAGCTACTTAAACTATGTCTAAGTTTTCATAGTTGCTCTCTGTGATATTTTTTTTAAAAATGGATAACGATAAGAGCAGAGATTGGCAAAATGCAGACCTCAATTTGAGATTGTGACAGATTCTGCAGGCTGCTGGCAAATGAGCTTGGTGCTGGTCCCCAAGATAACACACCAGAGTGGATCAGTAGGCTGACAGTGTGGACTGAGTCGTGATCAGAGAAGCCAGTGTGGGTTCAGGCTAACCTCACACTGGGGCTGCCGCAGACATTATACACCCGGGCTTTGGCAAGGAGCCCTTGAAAGGGGCATACTAATTTTTTTAGAATGGAGAACGATGGGCTAAATAATAATAGTTTATTTCAGACCTATTTTCATGTGTCAAAGAATTGGGAGAAACATGACTGTCAATATAAAGGCATGTTTTTAGCAGCAAGGGAAAGAACTGTTGTTAGCACCGTCCTATGCAACATTTCTAGCACAAATTGTCTTTGTGGGCTACGTATAGTTTCCACAGAATATTCTTCTCAAAAGACATTCCAACCATTCTTAGCCTGGGGTGACAAGTCAGATCTCCCCATGAGCCATAGCTTGCTGGTCCCTGTTCTAGAGCTGATCAAACTTGAGGATGACACAAGAGAGAATAAATACATTGCCTGACAGAAACAGGGTCCGTTAAGGTATCGGGACGCCTTAGAACTGGAGGGGACCTGAAACATAGACATCAGCTTGTCAAAGGCTCCTAATCTATTCACAGGGTGAACCGGAATGGGCCTTGGATTACAGGTTGGCAGAAATAAATAGAAATAAGCAAATGGTTTTACACTTGAAATTCCAAACTCCCAATTGGATGAGTGCAGGAGAGGCATGTATGGCTTGACAGCTGAACCAGGGAAGAACAGTGTTTTAGCAAAGACTCAGCCACATATGAGTCAAGAGTGTGGCATGGCCGCAAATTCCACTGTCCAGAGCAAAGCATTGCCACTCAACTTCTCACCCTGGCGTGTGACATCACGAGTCAGTGCTGTAACGCGTGAGGAAGGTTGAGGAAATGGGAAGTGAAACTGGAGGATGCAGGTACCAGGACTGCAGACACCACAGAGCACAGTAAGCTGTGCAAGTGGACAGAGAGCTGGTCCCTTGTTTGGAAGCCCTGACTGGGGACCCAGGACGTAGGTGGGGAGGACATTCTTGGTGGCAACTGCTCACGGTGCCTATAGTGGCATGGACACTGGGATGCAATATATTTATGTGCTTATTTCTCCCCTTAGGTCATGAGGCATGAAACATTCAGTCAGTAGAAGGAACTCCGCTTTTCCTCAAGCAACAGTCCAACATCTCAAGGAAACAGGAAACTCAGGAATGAAGGTGTATCACTTATGCCCAGCCAAAGGGCTCCCAGACGGAAATGGGGAAATCCGCCCTTACACTGTGCCTTACTCTCTTCCTTCATCATCCCCGAATCCAATTTTGTCCTTTAGTAACAGAAGACAGACCAAATCCATTATATATATATATATATATATAAATGTATATATATATAATCCATTATATATAATGGAGTACATATTAATATAAAAAGATATTATGTATGTGTGAGATATATATGAGATATTATATATACATAAGATATATATGTGAGACATTATATATATATAGGGATATATGTATATCCTTAACTAAAGACATATACTCCCGAAATTGCTGCTGCTTCTGGAAACAGATCACTAATTCCTTGTATAGTGCATTAAATTTCACATGTGCCATAGTTTCCAAACTGTTGAGAACAACTGGAGTTTAGAAATCATTTTCATATGCATGTTTCCATTCGCTCCTTTGGAAGCAGGGACAGTATCATATTCTGCCCTTGCTCCCTCCTCCCCTCTCAGGAGAAGCCATCAGAGCAAAGCCCAGGGAATTTGTGTAACGTATCCAAGACAGGCATGTCCAGAAAGTGGCAAGCTCAGGATGAGAACCAAGACGTTTTAATTCTAAGCCCACACATTTCCGGGTTCTTTATTAGAGGGTCTTGCTCAGTGTGGTATGGGTGTGCAATACGGTAGCAGAATTTTTAACAGCATGTACCACACATAAGTTTGATAGATTCTTGTGAATGGCAATAATATAAGGAACAGGGTGGGGGCACAAAAACGGCAGAGTTGGGAGCCCTTTGTCTAGTTTGAAGCTTCTTGGTTCTGTTACCCTCCATTCTTCTATTTCAAACCACCATGAAATTCCTAGAGCAACTCTGTAAGCAGCAGTAACATTTATCACATGAACACAGCCGTGGAAGCATCGGGTTTATACTGTTCTGGAGTCATTTTTACCAACCTGCATTTGAAGCTGGTATCGTGGATGAGCAGTTTTCCTTGTTACATGTTTCCATCATTGAAGTTAAAGTCATAGTAGGAACGTCGTTACTTCCTGAGAACAAAGTAGAATATGGTATAGAGACAAATATGCAAATGACAAGGAATGAGCACACAGTTACACACAAAGGCATGTAGATAAAAGGCACTACTACCCCGGCTTAGCTGTGTTCCTAAACTCTTAGTTTGAAAGGCTGAAAAATTTGCCATTGAAGCAATTTTATAAATAGAAAATAGGTTCATGGGCCAATCTGCTTTTATAACTTAAAAATAGTTTTTTATTTATTGATGTTAGAGAAAGAGGAAGGGGAGTGGAGAGGGACAGAGGGAGGGGGAGAGCAAAACAACAATCTGTTGTTCCACTTATTTGTACATTCGTTGGTATTTCTTGTATATGCCCTGACTGGGGATGGGACACGCAACCTTGGCGTAACAGGGCAACCCTCTAACCAGCTCGACTATCTGGCCAGGGCCTTTTATACCTTTTTAAAGTGGCTGACAAAGTATTAATAATAATGTAGACCTTAACCACCATGTATAACAATGATTCTGTGGCCAAAGGTGTTTAGGGTTAGGCCTCGGAATACCAGAAACACATTTCTCCCAGTGCAGCTGGTGTTCCCTGAGCTCTCAGCCTTGGGTGGGTCCCTGGGGTGGAGGCAGGGCTGCAGGTGGGGGTGTTCTTACAGGGGACAGGGTGTTAAATGCCTCAGGGAAGCAGGAACCTTCTGCCAAACCCCTGTCCAGGTTCTTTCATCTCTTCCTCTGTCCCAAGGATCTATCTGCCTGCTGGCTCACCAGTTACTACCTTGGCCCAGAAGGGAACAGAAAATAGTAACCTTCCTATCTATGTGAAACAAATAATATTTTATAAAAATATTATTTGTTGTTAGTAACAGATACAAAGTGAAGAGGTTCCTTCCTCTCGAACCTACTTTTTTCACACTGAGCCAGTTCATTTTCACATACAAAGAGCTGAAGAAATGTTCAAGTGTGTTTCCAAGCAACACCACAGCAAGGTCGCCCTGGTGCTCGGATGACTTCAGGGTGGATGTGGTGAGTGGGAGCTGACGTTAGGACAGGTGGAGAGGAGGCGGCCTGGGCTGGGGGCTGCCTGCCAGAACTGGAGTCCACCGGAGGCAGGGAGGCCGTGCATTTGACCTCCATCTGTCCCTGCCCCTGGCGTGGGCAAGACTGGGGGAAAGGGTAGAGTGGGTTTCGGGTTGTCAGAGAGGGAGAGAGGTGGGGTGTCTGAGTGTGCTCCGGCAGCCATTCCCTTGCTTCCTAAATGCCTGCTGACTCTGTGCTAGGCTCTGAGGGCCTGGAGTCCAGGCCTCGGAGAACCAACAATCAATTCAGGAGCACACGGTAGTACGGACATGATTTTATAGACTGGAGGAAGTGAAGTACAGATAATGTAATGTGTGTTAGGAGAGGGAGATCTCAATTCTAGAAAGAAAGAAAAAGAAGAGAGCTTTTTGGAGAAGGCTTCATCTAAAGGAGGCATGGGACTGACACACAGGGAGATGGGGTGGGGAAAGGGGGCAATTCCAGGTGCGATTTGTGTGCCAAAAGGCACAGACATTAGCAAGGGCACAGACAGGATGGCAGAGTGGCCTGGGCTCCCAAGCTAATGATTTTAAACCAAGCATCCCACAGCCAGCACCAGCCTCGGAGAGGCATTGGAAGGAATGAGCGACAGAACCAGAGCTGTGGTCAGAATGAATGACCGGGGCAGGCAGAAGGGAGGCCACATAGGAGGGCCCTGCAGTATCCTGGGTCAGAGGAAATGAGGGTGAGAAACGGGAGGGCAGCCATGAGAATGGGGGAAGAGGGACCTGTATGAGAGAGACTGTCACCTCTGCTTGTCAACAGAACCTTCCCTCCAACTCCTCGGGCCTTTCTAGGACATGGATCCCCTCTGCAGGCAATCAGAGCACCTTCTCCTTCGTCTATCAAGAAGCAGATTCCACTGGTTTGGAGGTAGGGTGTGCCTTCTCCTAAATTCCAGTGCCGACTGCAAATTCTCCACCCTCCACTCTCATCAGCACCTGTGATAATACTCTTGCCATCCAGCTCTGGAGCTCTCAACCTCCCCTCTCTCTCAGTTCCTGGCTTTCTGATTATGAATTCAGTCACTGAAGAACTGACTACTTATGCACTTCCAATGTCACTAGCTACATAGGTGTGCCATCCTCAATGTTAGCAGTAAAGAGTGTTTAATACTCCAGAGTCTAAACTTTATGTCTTGTCCCAACAGACACTAATATATGGCACCGAAGTAAATTAAAAATATCATGAAAATAAGGGTGTTTTTCCCAGAGCATGGTATCACATTCAGTCTCAGTGTACGAAACAAAAACTCTCAACACGTGAAGAATCAAGAGTGTAGCTTTGTTAACCATCTCATATGCTACATTCATAGAATTTAATGCTTTCTCTTATAAATATGAATACATGTAGTAAAGAGCTTGGCATTTTATGTCTAGTTTTGTCTATTTTGTAAGCAAAAAAGGAAGCTTTTATATATTTCTAAAGGAGATATTTACATTCATAATATAATAACACTGACTTCTTTTGTAAATAACACAATTAAAAATATTTACTACTGGACTCAGAAAACAATAACCATTGGACACACTTGAGTTCAGGAATTATGATGCTTTGGCTTCAGACTCACCCTGTACTGAGTAACTCAATGTGATCCTACCTCAAAATCAATTAAAACTTGAAGAATTTTGAGAGCATGTAGTTTATGCTTCACAGATAGTTTAGTAAAAGGTAGTTTGTGGGTATTTATATATGTGAGCTTTTCTTCCAATTATTTATACCTGTAAAATTCTGGGGAAAAAGGAACATTTAAAGAACAAGAAATGCATTAATGCAAATATTTCATGCTCCTGAGAGCAGAGAATAATACTTAGGTATGAAATTCAGTCTCAAGTTTAATAACTTTCAATCTAAGTATTATGACCTTTATATTCTATCCTTGACCACTTAGACTTAATAAAAGATCCAAATGTCATTTAATTATCCCATAGTGTAAGAAAGATGCTACCAAATATCATTAGTTTAATAATTAAGAACTGTTTGTTAAAGGCAAGAAAGAATATGGTTTGTAAGGCACTGCTAATTAAAGTGTACCTTTAAACTCAATGGCTTAAGAAAGTGAGTCATCTTGTGATTTTCATTCCCTACAACCCATCAGCACAAAGTCACCTGCAGAAATTAACAGCAAAGTGCAGGGGAAAGTGCTACTCAGCAAAGTAGGAGCAGAGGAAAAAGTCATAAAGAAATTTAACCAAACCAACAAAAGGTGGGAAAATGGTAAAAAGAAACCTTTAGAAAGCATAAGTAAAAGCTCAAAATCAGATGGAAAGAATAAGCCCTCATATGACAAGAATCACAGTGAGTGTAAACAGATAATGTCTAACCAGTCAGCCAACAAAAATATTGTACAGAAATTCTGATAGCCATGTACTGATGGACTGAGCTCCTTCATGACAATATTTTGAGTTTTTTTATATACTTATTTCTTACTTTATGATGGTTTCAAGTCAAAACATTTATTGTTTTCAATTATCTATGTATAATATGATGTACTGTGAGCAAATATGTATAGAGTAATGGTTGTAAATGATATCATATGTTCTTGGGAGAGAGGGAAACATGAAGAAAGCATCCCAAAGCTATTATCCTGTACTGAAGTTGCTGACTGTCTTCTGGATATAGTCGTCATTGAAACTTTCTTACTGAGACTGACCTTAGATGATGTTGCTTGTATAAGGATATTCCTATAGACACTATCAGCTAATACACAGCCTAAAAGTATTTTACAGTTGTGAGCTCTTAGTGAACCAGGACATGTTTTCAAAGGAATGAAAGAAAACATTTCCTCTATTATTGTTTATCTGTAATCCTCCTAACAAGCTACCTACACATCATACCCGCTATCAGAGAAAGCTCATTTAGCGGTAATAGCAGTACCTGTAATGGGAGTTCTGTTTTTCAGCCTGTCCACTTCCATAGTGAAGTCATCCTTCAGAAAAAGGAACCCAATAATGGAAAACAGGTAGACAAGGATGAGAGCCAGGACTGCAGTTAGAATAATGGAGCGGCCATTCCGTGTGACACTTTTTATGACATTGAGCAGTGTCTCTTCTCTGTACACCAAATCAAAAAGCTACAAAAAAAAGACACCACACACACACGGAGCAAAAGATAAATATAAAGGGCATTACAAATACAAATGCATGTCATTTTAGTTTGTGAAAAAATAACAACCTAAATGACACCTTAAAAATCAAACAAAATATGTATTGCTGTCTATTGCTAACAATATTAATAAACTTTTTTTAAATAAGGAGAACTCTAACACCACATATAACATGCATTTGTTGGTTTTCTAACCAACATAATTGCAGTTGTGTGAGCCATGAAAATAGCTTAGCTTCAAACTTGAATTTAGAAAATTTATAATGTGATACTTAGCCAACTTAGCTACTTATTCCTTATTTTTAGTCTTACTAATATTCTGCAGTTGCTTCTGGAATATGTAAAATGTCTAGAGTGAGAATGTTGAATTAGGTTCACTAAGTGATGACTAATTGACAGGCTCTTTAAATGTAATGTTTAATCAGGTGTTTACAGGAAAATTTATGAGAACAATTTTATGAACCTGTTGCAATAGAAAAAGCATGAAATTTTAAAATATTTCAGAAATGAAAGCATCTTTCCTTAGTAAAGGGATATAATGAGGGCAAAACATATTACTTTAGCATATACTTTTGGAAACAATAGTATGAACAAAAAGATAATACACAATTTTGCTAATTTACTTCCTCTAATGGGTTATTCTCCATTACGTGTTTAGTAGTAGAAAAAGCTATGCCCTAGTCAAGTACCTAGATATGCATTTGAACCTCTGTGGTCAACATTAAAAATGACTTAATTTCTTTGCTCTATAAAAAGCAGAAGTTACACATTAGCAAGTACATATTTTATTATCAAAAGCTCATTAAAAGTAATAATTTAACATTCACTTAAAAAGGAGTATTTTTACAATTGGAATAATCAGGGTTTGTCTTCTGCCATTTCTGGGCAGTGACTAGAATTTCTGAACTGGTTGAAACGATCAGGTATGAATATCACACATCCTCTCGGAAACCCCAGGGCCGTGGACTCTGCTTTTCTGAGCACTGAGGTTTATACAGTTACTTTCTGAGCTAATTGTAGCCTTACAAATAATTGTTATAAAATTATTAGATTGTTTGCTCAACTTAGGAACTATCATTCATGATGGTAAAATTTAAAAAAATATGTATGTTTAACTATTTTGCTATCTATCTTTTGGAGGGAGCAGCAAACTCTAGCAATAGAGTCAACATTCTTTAGTACAGACAAACTAACTGATGCAAATTCAACTTCCAAATTATCAGTGCATTGACTTACTTAAGCATTTAGTTGACATAAGGAGATTTTTCTTAATTTTAGCTCAGTAGAGGCTTAAAGAAAATGTCAGACAATGGGCTGTATGTCACTTCTGCATAGTTTCTGGGAGTTTATAGCTTTCAGAAGCTCATGGGATGCTTGCAAAAATTGCCTATTCCCAGGCCCCAATCTATCCTCATGGACCAGAATCTTGAGAATGCAGAAGGTGTTGACATTGATGAGGTTGATGGTTCTTTTTCTCTATTTCTAAAAGAAAAATCTAGTGTGATTTTTAATATTTTGAATAAAGGATTCACACTTGTGGACAAATGCAGGAATGCACATTCATGTAATTTTTAAACATAAAAATATTTTTTAAAATATGTTTAAATTCCATCTTGTTATTATGCCCATTACAATTTCCTTCTAGTACTCAAAATATCAAATGGACTATCTCCTTTCCATAACCAATCCAATGGAAACAAGTTATCACCCCTATTGTGTGATTTAAGATAAAAGACAAGAGGAAAATAAAACTAAAAAAATAAGGTTAAGTAACATAAATTAAAGTAACATTACCAATAACTCTATAATCATTCAAATCCACATTTATTTTGTCAAATACCTTTACTTTTTACATACATCATTTCACATTATCTCTTTAATGGATTTTGATAATGTCTCCCATACTATCCTTATCTGCATTCCGCCTGCATGTAAACATAACACAGGCAGAATCTGTATCCTTTGCAACTCCAGGAAAAGAGGGAAGGCTGAACAGGATCCCAGTTATTCAGGTCTCAAACTTGGACCTGAATTAAAACCCAGGCACTCCCTACCCATTTCATAGAGAAGAGGGTTGAAGCACGTATCACAGTCAGGTTAAAGTGCTGGGTATAATAGTTTCTTATACAGTGTGGGGCAAAAGTAGGTTTGCAGTTTTGAGTGTGCAAAACATAGAGCTTATTCTTATACTATTATTTATCAAGTATTGCATTATTTTCTATACAAACTGTAAACCCACTTTTTTCCCCAACTCTGTATATCACAGGAAGATTTTTAAAAATCAAATTTTTCAGAACAGAGGGGGAATTCATTTGGATCCCTGAAACAGAAAAATAAAATTTCCTCTTGATTGATGAATAATCTAATGAACTGCTTAGAAGATCATTTTAAATCTAAATATATGGAACAAATCTACTCTTCACTATGGCTCCTTCAAGTGTTTATGAGTACATGGAAAGTTAGCTCTTTTTCTGTCTCCATTCATGGGTGTGCTAAAGAACATCACAGGGAAGCAGGAGGCAGGCATCCTGGGGCACTATAGTGTTTTCAGACCTTCAATGTGTCTTCGGGAATTGTTTTACTAGGTGGTGCTCTCTGCTGCATGTCAACTCTGGGCGGGACAGATAAATAAATTGCTCCTACGCATGGTGCTAACTTGGTAGTGCTTTAAGTTTCAAAACATCTTATGTTTATAATGATTCTTCTCCTGGCTTATGGGCATAAAACATGCATGTAGCCAGCAAAAACAATCTGATAGCCAGCGAAACCAAACAAACAAAAACACCACACATGCCAAAATCTGTAGAAGAAATCTGAAAATCCATTTAGTGAATTAAATATACATGTAGATATAAGCTTAACAACAATGACATTAAATCTGAAACAGTAAGATTTTACTTAAAACAACTTGTTGTCCTTTTGCTGGGTTGCCAGTTTTCCCCCTCACCTTACCTACATGCCATTTGAAAGACACACATAATATTTGGGACTGTAAATAAAATGAAATTATTCAGGTGCCGAGAAGACATACTCCCTTTTTTGTCTCCCACACTCTGTTGGAGAATCTCTAAATGTAAAGACAAGTATGATGTGGCTAAAACCAAAAGCAGCCTGTTCTTTGGAACCTGGGGCAAGAGGTGGGGTCGCTGGTTCCTTCTCAGAGAGGAAATAAAGAATTCCACCACCTATGTAGGTTCTCAGAGAAAAAGACTAAAAATAATAACAATTCATGCTTTGCCTAGGGAATTCTAAAAATATCATAATTTGTCCTAAATGTCAGGCTGTGCTTTTAAAAAAAATCAAAAGAAGAAGCATAAGAAGAAGCATTGTGTATTTTTTTCCCAGCAGTGATTGTCCACACAGAGATGTACTCACCAGGAAGCTGTAGAAGAATTCATGCACAAAGAGGCCCAGCATGCAAACCAGGACATATGCCACGTGGTAGAGAAAGGCCATATCCAGGATGACCGCGCGGTACCCGCGGGTGAACGTGCCACGATTCCCAACAAAACTCACCAGAAAAACGATTTTATTACAAAGCTGAAGGGAGGAAACAATTAGATTTTACTGTCTGACTTATTCCAAAACTCACATAAATAACAGGCATTGACAAAAGCTATTATTCACAGGTCTGTGGTTTTCATTCACGATTTTCCCTTTTGTAATTTTCAGGGCGGCTTATGAATCTGCATGTATACATAACACAGGCAGAATCTGTATCCTTTGCAGTTCAGGAAAAGAGAGGAGGATGAATAAGGGCCCCAGTTATGCAGGTGACAGGGACCCGAATTAAAATCCTGGCGCTCCCTCCACCACTGCCATGACCCGAGTCATGCAAAGGTAGGCCTGGATTGTTTCTTCTGAAAACCGGAATAAAGGAATTCCCAGCTCATAGAGCCATTCAGAGGATTAGACAATTCATCAAGCATACAGAGCACTTAATACAATGACTCTTTACATAGCACTGATTGCATTTTCCATACTGAAAGTAACCTGTGTGGTATTTTCATTATACTAGAAATATAACAGAAAAATATCTTCAGAAAATATTCTGAGATCTGTCCTTGATTATTTTTTTTTACCCTGGAGTTTCTTTAATGAGTACAGCTTTAAACCAATAGCCATTAAAATTATTTTTACAGTTAACTTACTTTAAATACATAAAAATTATAAATATACCTATATACCTATGTCAAAATAAGTAAAATGTGTACATATATTTTCTAAGTTTTATGTGTCATAAGTTCATAAACATTTTGAAGTGTTTATTATGACTGGTACGACATAGAGTATTTATATTAAACTGTATTTAATATTGCCACTTGTGGCATAATTTTAGAACACAAATATTTATACTGAGAGTCTTTGGCAATAACAGCGATCTGTTCAATGATTTCCAAAGAACACTCTTATCATAACTTAGCACCCTCTACATGGTTCTGGAATCACTGCATTATATATAAACTGAGGAGTCAGTTGTTCTCTGTAATCAGCAAAGAAGTACAGATTTTGAAATTTCGTTTTTTTCCCCCCAAACTGTTCCCTGAGTATTTTAAGTTATCTAATGGCACCATATTTGTCTTTATATGTCCAAGCCTAACTTTGGGGAAAAAAGGTTGCTCATTACAACATTGTTGATTTTTTTCAATATATATAAAAGAAACTGCCTTAAGGAATGACTTTCCCGGTAAATAACATAAGGAGCAAACACTCTGAGGCAAAAGTAAGTATGTGACGTTGGAAAAACCCCTTTCTTGAACTCTGTGAAATCTAAGTCAATACAAATAAGATGAGACATGTTGAGAAGATAGCCAAACCAAATTAACAACATAGCAACTAAAAACTTCAAACCTTTTCTAAATTTCCTCCCTGCTAATTAACTCCTCTCTCAATAATCAATGTTATCAATTCTCTCATTATCTTGTTAATAATGTGAATAATGTGAAACAGAAAGTCTTTCTGAACTGCGTAGGGATTCATTATCACACCTCTGTAGTTCATTACTGAGTGCAGCTACAGTGGAGTAAATGTCTTGACCAGTCAAGAGCAAGTTTGATACAAGAAGTCATTAATTTAAAACCTCAGAAACTATATAAAAGGTGCTGATATAAATGTAGTATATCATAAACATTAAGAAAATGGTGAAAAGAAGAATGTCTGGGTTAAGTAATAATATCCAGTGTTTTACTCTGTTAATTGTTTTGAGTGAGTATTATCTAAATTTAAACTACCTTGATTAACCCACTGTAGTTCCTCAATATAAAGTAGGAATAAGAAGTTCTATAAAATATAAAATTAAAAATTGGAATGCTTAAGACAAATTATTTATATTTTGTTTCCCAGTCTCTACTTTTCTAAACTGAATCATAAAAAAGTATGTAGGAAAACTATTTATGTGAAGCCCTTTACACACAGGAAAAGTAATGGATTGAATTCAAATACCCAAAAGAGCAATACATTTCAGTTCTCAAATAACAGAAAAGCAAGGACACATTTCTGTCTAAAACAGTCTCTGCTCATTCTGCATAAAAAATAAATATTTGTCTTATTTGTTTTCAGATTGATTTTTTAAAAAATCTTGAGCTAGGGCTAGATGTTGATGGATATGTCTATTCTCTCGAATAAGCTTTGAACTGAAGTGGAGTTGAAGCCAGCAGTGGTGCCCACTGTTTCTGTTGAGACCAGAAACACAGAAATTGTTGTCCTTTTGTTTTGAGGTGCTCATCTCAAGGAGAAATAAATGCAAGAATAAATGACTGGGTAGGAAAGAAGTTGTATGGCCAAATCCTAAGGCAAAATTTTCACATAGTCAAAATTACCTTGGAAATTTTTGAAATTTCCAACAGAACAGTACAGGAAACAAAGGTGATGTAATCTGTAGTGACACTTTCTAAGTTGACATGTATGGAGCAGTTTTCTGTATCTGCAACTGATGCCGGAAGCAGTTAGGAACCTTCAGTGACCATATTGTAGGAGAAATAGTGTAGTGTGAGTGTTGTACACGTGCATTAGAGAGAGAAAAAGAAGAAGCTATGGAAGTTTTGATTCAGAATGTATAACTGAATTTGTATACGATGGATGAACACATGGTAGGGCAAAACCTTACAGATCTATGGGTAAGAAACTGAGGGCATGACAGTGTTAAATTTGGGGCACTGGGGCATATTAATAGACAGCTATCTACTAAATTTCATTTGCTTTACCTCTCTGCAAAATTGTGAAACCAAGTCCAGGAAGGAGGGAACATGCTCACATTACAAGTAATTGTGAGAAAGAAGCTGATTTATAAATGCCATTAAATAAATTACACATTTCCAGGCACTCCTAGAAAGGAAAAACACTATAGATAACAAGTGTTTAGAAGACATTAAAATATCTTTCACAGGCATTTACTGTATTATTTTTTATTATTAACATGTACCCCTGTCTACGGCCATACCACCCTGAATGCGCCCGATCTCATCTGATCTCAGAAGCGAAGCAGGGTCGGGACTGGTTAGTACTTGGATGGGAGAACATGTTCCCCTAAGTTGATTGCAGTATTATTTATAACAGCCAAGATTTGGAGGCAGCTGGTTGTCCAGCAGTAGATGAGTGGATAAAACAGCCATGGTACATTTACACAATGGAATACTATGCAGTCATACAAAGAAGAAAGAAGAAAAAAAATTTTACTCTTTGCGATAGCATGGATGGACCTGGAGAACATTATGTTAAGTGAAATAAGCCAGTCAGAGAAATACAAATACCATATGATTTCACTCATATGTGGAATCTAATGAAACAAACTGAACTAACAAGCAAAAGAGAGACAGATTCATAGATAGAGAACAAGCTGACAGCTCGGGGTTGGAGTGGAAACATTGAGCAAAAAAAGGAAAAATAAAAAGAAAGAACTCATGGACATAGACAACAGTGTGGTGATTGCAAGAGGTAGAAGAGGGTATGGGGGGATAAATGGTGATGAAAAAAATATGTATCTAAAAACAGAAACAATATAAATTAATAGAATAAACACATGTAAAATCCATATGATTGGAAATATCTGTCAAAATGAGATTTACAAATAATTTAATGGTGTAAAAAGATTAAATGATTACATATTTATGAAGTGTATGTTTACATTTGCCAAAATAATATGTTAATTTCCATTACCAATGACTGAAAATGCAACATGGAGGGCGGGAAGAAAACTGTACTGGGTTATAAGATATTCTTTATATCAGAGAAAAACATTTGAATCTTTTGAAACATCACAAGTACTGAGATGACTCCTGTGACAAGATAAAGAAACTAGTGGCAATTTAAATAAAACTTCAATATTTATAAACAAGTAAAGATGATAAAAACTGATAATGCTTAGAGAACAGATTGAGGTTCTTTCCTCCCACTTGATTCCTTTTCCAAAATAAAAAAAGGAACTTTCTGCATTTGCTCAACAGTATGAGAGATGCTGAGTCCAGAACGACTCTCCATGAACCCAAATGTAAACGTTTTTGTGATCATGGTAGCGTCTTACAGTTAAATAGCACTTCACATATTAGGCACCTGGTGAACAGCAGACTTTATTGACGTGATATCATGATTACTGTTACTGTCGTCATCTTCTCACCGATCTTCTCAACTGATTTTGACAATACAGTGAGAATAAAATAGGCTTTTTTTATTTTAAAAAATCCTAATTGGATTTATCAGGGTGACATTAGTCTTAATGTCCTTGTTTCACTGATGGGAAGAATGACATGCGGAGGCTGGTTGGTTTGCCTGAGGTGCAGAATTCTGCTCCCCAGCAAGGCTTCACTGCCAAGTGGGCACTTTCTTTTCTTTATCTTGTTTCTGATACCAATGATTTTAGCACTTGAATTTCACCTGTTTACACAATGTAAACTTTTAAGTGTAAATTCAGTTAATAAATATATAAAACCTGAGGTATAAAACATGATTGTGTTTGCTTTTATTCTTTTTCCCTGCTTCCTGGGAAATGGTCAACTATCCATAGTCTTGTAATAAGTTTGTTATGTTAAACATTAAGGTTAACAATTATTTGCAAAAACATTTTTATTAACCAGTACAATATCAAAGCTATAAACAAAGCCCTTTTATAAATATCTATACTATAAAAATTATAATTATTCTATTTAATTTGTCCCAAGTCTAAGTTGATTATTTCCTTTAGTTAAAAAGAGGCTGTGTGCATGGCCGTTTTACGTTGTGAAGGCCATCGGAATGCCCACAGATTCACACGGTTAATAAGAAACATGGATCTCCATGCATGCTCCTTCTGGTCAAGAAACTAAAGTATAAAACTTGTCCCTAATATGACTAGTCAATTCTACTCAGAAGTTATGTTTTTACCCTGTCCCCTGAGGGGAAAAAGAAAAGTGTTTCAAATGTTTTTGGTTTTCCCAGTAGACATTAAATTTGTTATTTCTTATCTCTTTATATACTATTCTGGAAGCTTCTGGATGGCGAGAACCTTATCCTCTACCTCTTGGTATTTTCGGTGCATATTACACAGAAGCCCCATAAATGTTTGTTGGTTTTGGCCCAACTCTATTTAGCTATTCTTTAGCTATAAAACTTGGATTTTTCTTACTTGGATCAATGTCTTATTGAGGACCAGCTACTGGTTTATAAATATTGTTTGTTTCTTCAGATAATTTGGTTCAATATTCAATGTATTTTTAAAGAAAAACTAACAAGCTGAACACACTAATAGGTTCATAAAAATTCAGATAAATTCATGAAGATTCCTTAATTAGCCTGATTGGCAATATTGCAAAAGTAGCTTATATTTCCAAAGCACTGAAAGAGTAAGTTCAGTTCATGTAAACAACTGCTGATTATTTAAGTGCCAGGTATTGTACTAAGATGAGAAAAATGGAAATGGGAGGGGGTGAGAAGAGCAGAATTCTGTCTATCGGTGTGACAACCTGTGTCCGCGAGAGACTTGATGGAATAATGCATTTGGTATTTTACAGAATTCTGTGCTGCGAGATCTCTTTGTGTCTCTTTGTGTGTATATTCCAATTTCTTTTACTGACAATGATTAAGGAGTACCAGGTAATTTGATTGAGTGTCCTCGCTAATGGGGAGCTATCATATATTTCATATCCAATTTTTGAAAAATTATAAGGGTCAGAAACATAGAACTGGCCATGCTAACTCAGCCCTATAATTCTCAAAAGTTTGACTGACTATTTAATTTATACATTTGTCATAAATATTTGCCATGTATTGAATGTGTAAGGCACTATGAATGCATAATACAAAAATAATCTTTCCCTCATTCATTAGCCAACTTATTTACAAAATATTTGTTGAGTACCAATGATGCTCCTGACATTGAACAACTAACCATTATCCATAAGAACTGTACAGTCTAGTTGGGGAGATAAGGCCTATATACAGATATCAGAAGATGTGACATCATGCTAGCAATCCAGTAAAAGATATGAAAAGTGTTCCACCACATATATTAGCAACATATATTTATTTGTTTACCTGGCCATTTGTTCTTCCATCAACCTGCTGATTTACCTTTTCTCAATAGCCCTTTGCAGCTCCCATGTAGAAAGTTGCCTAGTCTTTTAAAATTCTCTCTTGGGTACAACTGCCATTATTTGGAATAGTATCTTGGCTTACTTATTCTAAACTTACCTAACTTAAGTGTTGAAATGGTCTCCTTTGTTCTAATACTTTAAAATTTAGTGAAAAAAATATTAATCTCATCTATGCCTTTGACAAATGTATAGGTATTGTTCAAATAAAAAGAGCCCAGTTTCACAGCTTCTCATACAACAACTCTTTTTCCTTGGTCATTTTATAAAAGATACTCAGTTCTATAATTCTACTGAATGTAATTTAATCTTTCTAGATGATTTAGAAGTCACTTCAGGATGTTAACAGTGGCTCAAAGTCATTTTCGCCAATAGCTGCTGGTACAGAATGCAGAAGGCAGTAAAATTGGATTGGATTAAATTCGTGGCAGAACTGGGTCATGACCCAAATGCGACCTTTGTAAATAGACCCAATTTTACTTGTCATTTTTTTCTCTCACTCCAAATTAAGAATGTACAAATTAAACTCAGGTTAATTCAGATTCACAATAAACTCCAATTTACTGTGTATACATGAGCTAAAGCACATAGTTAAATTTTTACATATAGTACACTTTTAATTAATCGATAACAGTACAAAGCAAAATACTTACATTAGCTGCACCGAGAAGTATCAACGTAGGCCCAAGCCCTATTGTGTATATTGATCTGAGCATCACTGACACAAGAAATGGCCGAATACCCACAGGCTTGGAGAAGAAAAACAGCATTGATGTGCAGATTGCGACTGCAATCCAAAGAAGAACCGAGAACAATGGAGAGAGTGTACCTGTAAAATGTGGAAGAAGTTTATTTTTCCTAAGAACAAAGGTAGGAAATGTTAAAATATTTGCCACTTTTATATAACACATATAGCAAGTCAAGCCATGGGACACCAAATTTCAAAACACCCTACTGTATGTACACACCTGCATATTCAGCGGAAATGTCTGTGAACACAATATTCATTACATTTCTTTCCAGAAAGTTTGTGATTAATTTCAGGCTGCTTACATATTCACTGGTTGTGCTCCTTTCATTAAGCCTGAGAGTTCTTCGTCCCTGTCTACTACAGGGGTTATATATGCTAAATGCCTTTATAGAGGTGTCCCACTTGGGACCCATCATTCAAAAGTTATGATTGATAACCATTAAGTGTACAGCTAAATCATGTGAAACCTGGTATTTTTCCATTGAACTCATACTCTGCCTTGTTCTGTTATTATCAAGTGTCTATATTATAGATTCCTCTAAAGAATTCACAATGAAGAATATCCAGTCCTTAATAGACACAAGATTTAACAGTTAAAACACATGTGGGCGTATATAAGTATATGAATCTAAAGAACACATACGAAAGTGTGTGCTTGAAGGCCAACTCGAGTTCTTAAAATTATTGTGCCACTTAAACCATCAGAAACAAAAGTTTCAAGTATTTTAAGACTAAACTCTATTACAAACAAAATTTCATTCAAAATGGTCCAAAAAGGGGTTTGAAAATATACTTCTTTAAAAAGAAGCACAACTCAGTGACGTCTGCCTCAACATGTGGATTTAAGGAATCCCTCTCTGTGCATCACGGGCCGCTGGATTTGCCGGAGTAAATCACAGGGCAACATTCCTAGGATGATTAGACCAGTGCTGAGACCTCAGCCATGTGTGGGTGGCTGAGGAAGTCAGAGGGGAGACAACAAAATGAAGATTTTTTACTAATTACTTCTTTTGGCCACACCTCTTTTTGTTGTTAACAAAATTAACTTTTGCGTGTAAAACACCACAAGGTCTGTGGTGTACTAGGTTTTTGTGTTGTCATCAAAACTGTGGGATTATCTGGACTCGTGCAATAAATTCTGTGTAAGCCTTTAAGTTCACAGTGAGTACTAAAAGATCAAAAGTAGGCAGAAAGATCCTGTTAGACATTCAACAGAAAACAGAATGCCAGGTAGCATTAGACATGTTTATTGTTGCAGTGTTTGTTCTTATCATATTATCTCTTAAAAGCAAGCCATAAAGCAACCTCTAGTCAAAACGGCAGAGTAGACAGACATGGTTCACCCCTTCGTACAATCACATAAAAATTACAACTAAAATATAGAACACCACCACTGAGAACCATTAGAAATCGAGTTGAATGGATGCCTGACAACTACAGAATTAAAGAAACCATATCCATCAAGACTGGTAGAAGGGGCAAAGACATGAAAAGGCTGGTCTCTCAGCCACATGTGGTGGATAAAAATTTGGGAGGGATATCTCAGGAGCAAGGGGTTTCAGATAAACACGAGGCTCCCCAGCCCAGGGTTCACATGCCAGGAAGGAAAGTCCCCATAACTTTTGGCTGCAAAAACCAGTGAGTGGGAGTTGAGTCAGTGGAAGAAACTTCTAGAGTCCCAAGCAGTTCCTCTTACAGAGCCCACACACAATTCACCTACTCAGACTCATTCCCTCTGAGCTCCAGCACCAGAGTAGCAGCTTGAAAGGCACCAGTGGCATAAAGGGAGAAACCGAAGTGTCTAGCATTAAGGCAAGCAGAGGCCACTGACCCTTTCCCCAACCCTCCCCCCAGAGAGCCAGCAAACCAGTGCCATATGTTGAGACTCCATCGACCTGGCTAAACACTGTTTGACCTGCCTTGAAGATCCCCAGGAACTCCACCCTACCCAACTTACAGGTCCAACCAAGTTGCTTTTCCATATGAATGGCTGGTCTTGGCTCATTTTCACAACTTTCTAAATCCTCTCAAATAAGCAACAGCTCAGTGAGCCCCAGAGCTGGCACTAGCAGCAGCCAGCTCAGATTCTCAGCTTGGCTTCACCTTGGAATCTCCAAGCCCAGCACAAGTAGCAGCCACCTCAGATTGCTTTATAGCAGGGTGGCCCTGGGCAACACACAAGTGGGGGCTGACCTCTGCCTGCACCACCAGGAAACCCCAGAGCCAGCGCACCCAGTGGAGAGTTACAGACCATGACAGAGCACCACCACCCTGTGCCTGCACAGCACAGCACAGCACATCCTCCAAGGAGGTTGGAGGTTGGTGGTCAGTGGTCACAGCCAGTCCTTGCAGCTGACTGGCCTGACTAAACCCCTCCCACTGACCTGCCAACAGCAACCAAGGCTCAACTACAAGAGTAGGGTGTCCTCAGCCCACATGAAGAGCACAACTTGAGTTCTCAGCTTAGGCGATAGGGGAGGCTGTCCATTGAACCCTACAGGGCACCTACTGCTTTAGGCCACACTAGCGAGACATAGAGTCAAAGCAGCTCTACCTAACACATAGAAACAAACAGAGAGGCTGCCAAAATGAGGAGACAGAGAAACATGGCCCAAGTGAAAGAACAGATCAAAACTCCAGAAAAAGACCTAAACAAAATGAAGATAAGCAATGGATCAGATGCAGAGTTCAAAACACCCAACACCCACGAGTTGGTGTGATATTGTTATTTTGAAAGTCTCGGCTTTGACACGACAGTCATACTATGTATGCACTGTCATTAAGGCCTCTTCGGCTAACCACGTCTCGTCTGCTCCTCGGACAGCATCCGGCTTGCTGAGATTTCCTCTGGTTCAAGAAGAAATTACAACCATGCACTTAAAGAAGAAAGAACTCACATAGCATTTCACATGGTACCTTGAACATATTTAAGTGCTGAATATGTATTTGTGAATAAATAAATAAACTTAAAAGTTATATCAAGTGGCCATTAATTTACACCATTGTCAATTGACAATAATTTAAATCATTCCTTGTAAGAACAGACATAGTCATTTGTAGCTGAGATTTGATGCTTAAAAAAATTAAAACCCCCTGACAAACTCTAGAGAAGACAGTACAAATTATAAAAACCGATTTTTACCTGATAAAGGCGGGAAGAGGGACTATCTTCTCTACCTAATAATTCACATTTATATCAATTTTCTATAATGAGCATGTATTGCTTTTACAATGAAAAAACCAGAATTCATTCTATATATTTTTAAAGCTTAGAAAGTATAAAGTGTGTCCTCTAAAAACAAAATTCAAGTAACAACTTAGAGGCCTGAATTCAGTTTGCACAGTGGAGACTTCCTGTCCACCCCACACTGACTTGTCTGTGGTCTGCTGCAGGGAACACGCTGCATCTCACTTCCCAGGCTCCCTCTGATCCTCTGCCTCCCACACGGGCTCACGGGCCTTCCCTGTCCTCCACCTCCGTGCGTGCGGCTAAAGCAGGCCTCCACCCATACAGCCACGGGTGGTCTTTTCTCTTGTGCTTTACTCCTTTCTTCATTTCTTATCTAGATCGTGAGCTTCTTGAAAACAAGGGCAACTTTACCAACCTTTCTATCCCTAGGGTTCAGTACAGTATCTGGCATTTTGCCACAATCCATCAATGGTTGTTTATAAGTGGAACGCATCAAAATCACCTTGAAAAGCTTATTTTAACACAAGGCATTTGAGAGAAAATAGAACTACACCTTACATTCAACCATGACTTTTTTAAAAAATCACATGCTATCTGGATATAATGAATTCCCTTGACAGCAATTTACTCTGCTAACTGGCCTGCCTTTGCCAAACTGGGAAGGGGTGGTTGGCATGGCAATGCTCAACTTCTGAGCAGACTGCTAGGAGATTCCCTAGCATCAATAGCTGCTGCTTCAGCCACATATCTCAACTTCAGCACACATTTCTTTTCTTTTTTTTTTTTTTTAGAGAAATCATACGTTAAATAAATAAATGAACTCACTACATTTTTCAAAAACCCAAACCAAAACCTACAGCCACACAACTAAAGCCTGGATTCCTGAATAAATTTAAACAGCACTCCTCAAAGCCTGTCAATGAAAGGAGATTTTCTGTACCTGGTGGGAGGGTGGAGGGCCCAATGAAATGATCCTCTGAGAATCACTCCCCACCTTAAGTATCTCCCTCTGATTGCTGAGCTGGGTGAAGGAAGATACTATCTCTCCATTAATATTACAACCCAGTGTGAAGGAGAGATATGGCATAAGCAGTCCCCAGTAGCTCACGTGTGGTCGTGTTTGGAGAGCACGCACAGCCCATTCCCTCACCAGCTCCTTTGTCCTCACCTCCTCCTTGGCCACGGTGACTCTGGAGCAGCTTGTTTGACGGTCTGGGGTTGGGAATGGTGGCTCATTTCACCTTTTGTTGGCCCAGATTCATGAGGGGATTTCATGATCAACTTCTATATCCAGAATCTAGGTACCTTAGGGTTGGTCAACTACTCATATTTACTTATTTTTAAACTTTCACTTCAAAACTCTTTCAGACTTATCTAACAGTTGCAAATACAATACAAAATTTTCATATACCTTTCACCTAGATTTCCCAAATGTCAACACCTTACATAATTGTATTATAATAATGAATTATCAATAAATTAATAAGATATTAATCTTTTTCTAACCTATAGACCTTATTCAAAGTTCATCGATTGCCTGATGAATGCTCTTTTTCTGGACCAGCATCACACACTGCATTTAGTTGTCATGTCTTCCAGTTTCTTTCAATTTGGAGTGTGTGTGTCACATGTTGTTGAGTCAGCCGCAACTCCTGACAACACTATGGCTTCTTTTATGGCGTCAGCCTCTCTTCCTCTTTCCTGCTGCCTTCTCTTCTTCCTAGAGTTGTTGCCTTTTCCAAAGAAACCCGCCTTCTCATGATGTGCCCCAAGTAGGACAGCTTCGGCTCTGTCATTTTTGCCTCCAGCGGTGTTCCAGGTTTAATGTGCTGTAGGACCTACTTGTCTGTCTTTCTGGTGGCCCAGGGTATCTGCCGAGTTTTCCTCCAACACCATAACTGCAATAAATCAATTGTTTTCCTACCAGCCTTCTTCATTGTCCAGCTTTTGCATCTATGCATAGTAACTGAAATCTCAATCTTTGTCCTTCACGCGCTTGAAGAGTACCGGCCAATTATTTTGTAAAATGTCCCTCATTGTGGGTTGTCTGAAACATTCTCAGTTTATGCATTTTGGGCAAATGATGTAACATCCTTGTCAGAGCAGCATATCAAGAGGCCCCCAGGGTTGCTCTGTCTCCTCACTGGTGACATTAACACTGACCACTTAAAGTAATTTTTACACTGTAAAGTTACTATTTTTTATTTAGTAATTAATAATTACATTATAGGAAAATACCTTATGAATATGTCCATATCCTGTTTATCATTATAGTTTTCATCTAACACGTTAATTTTGGAACATATCAATGATTCCCTGATGTTTGACAAATGGTGGTGACATTCTATTTCCATTATTCCTTCTACATTTATTAATTGGCATATCATTATTTGAAATAGTTTTTTTCTTTTCACTATCAAAATGGACACCTGGATTTTTATTTTATTCTATGGGTTATTATGTATTACTATCAATATTTATTTTTTCTCAAATTCTCCAGATTTCGCCACTAGGAGACCTTTCAAGTTGGATGCCGTGTTCTTTGACATGTCCCCATCGATTTGTTTAATTTTTTAGCACTTTTTGGAGAGAATCTTAATGATACAATCGATTAAGTTGCCTCAAAGTGCTCCTGACAAGTAGTCAGTCATCCAGTCCATGTCTCACAAAATGGGACATTAGAGAACATGCATACCCACTACAAAACTTTCCTTCTCCAGCCAGTACTGATGCCAGGTGCGCTCAGCAGTCTTCATTTAACTTCATTTCCTCAGCCTTTCTAGCTATGCATAGTGTGCAACTGAAGGTTAGAGACTCAGCTAATCCAGAACAAAAATTTAACTGTTTGCATTGTGTCATAATTAAATAACTGATCTAGAACTACAATTGGATTACCCTAACACAACCTTGGGATTCCATATTGCCAAAAACAGCAGCTCATGCCTTCCCTTCCCTCCTAGCATCGGCCCTACACCCAGACACCTAAGACTGAACCTCCACCTTTATGATGCTGTTAACTTCCGTTCAGCCCTTTTTGAAGGGTAAAGTCTGCATCTGCCCTGATGACAAAGCACCGTGGTTTTCCAGTCTTGTTTTCATTACTCTTATTTCTTTGGAGGTTGGAGCCTTACTCCAAACTCTACTATATATGTGGTTTCAAATACCTATTCAAGGGCCAATTATATAAGGAAGACCTTGGGAGCATGTTAAAAAATATGTATTTCTGGACTCCACTCCCCAATTATTGGGCAACTATTCCTAAGCTTTAGATTCTTTATCCATAAGGGTGAAGTGCTCATTTGCAGGATTGTCAGGAAGATTAAACAAAATCATGTATGTCAAGTCTTAAGTATTTTGCCTAACCTGATCTGACTGGCATATATCATCAGCTGCTGTTATTATGATCAATATCACTACTCTGGTGTTAGTCAGGTAACCATTAAAAATGTATCAGGCATTCCACTGTCTCCTGAATGAGCAAAGAGTATATGTCCAGACGAGTGGCGCTGCCCATCACCATTATATTTCACACTCAATAGGTGGTGGCAGAGGCTACATACGTTGGCTCCGGGGGTTGAGTAAGATATGATCATGGAATGGAACTACGAAACATTATGTCCCGTGTGAAGATTTGATACCTTCCTGTTATGCTTCCAACACAATTCCTCATGCAGAAAAGTCCTGGATTGGAACCAAAAAGTGAACCTTCTACTCCGCTATCTGCCAATTTTTAGCCTCTCTGGGCCTCCGTCTTTTTATCCGTCAAATGAGGGTTTGATATTAGATAATTTCCAGAGTTGCTTCCCTAGCTAAGACTTTATGCTCCTACAGTTTACTCTTAGCATTCTGGGTGAAGATGATACTCATGTATCATTTCAAGATGGACCTCTCACCTGACAAGAGTCACATTCTTCTGGGCCAAGAGAGCTATCGGCACAAAATGAGACTGAACACTGAGAAGAGAAAGCTGTCTGCACTACCTGTTGCGTTAGCACCTGCCCCATGATGGATGACCAGACATTCGCTATCTTTTTCATTGCTATTTAACTCCCACATCTGCTCCGTTGCCACATATTCTTCTTTAAGTACCGGCCTGCCTTCCAGAAGGTCAAACTTTATTCATGATCATTATACCTAAATGTTATAATGTTTGATGTTTGTTATCTTAATGGACCTTTAAAATAGCAAATTACTCCTGGGCTCCCATTTCCCTTCCTGCTCACCTCCAGTTCTTCTGCAACAGATTCAAATACCTATTGCTCTCATCATATGATTCCTTTCATTGGGCTTCCCTTTGTAGTGTTAACATTTACCTTGTAACATCAACAACAACTAAGTTTTACCAGGAACTATTCTAAATGATTTACTCATGACAGGTCATTAAACTCTCATAATAATTCACCCTAAGAACAGATGAGATACACAAGCACCTTGAGCAGTTCTTATTTGCTGATATAGCTCACCTTTTCCTCCCCGCCATTCTTTCCACACACATTTCAAAGTTATTTATCTGTTTGTATCCCAGGTCAGTAACAAAGTTTCCCATTCGCTTTGCCAGACTTAAATACAACTTAATTTCTACAGTCTCATCATATAGTTATTTCTTCTATACAATATTTCCCATTTCACTTAAAATGAGATCATTTCTCCTGGCTTTGCTTTTGTAAAACCTCATGCAATATTAGTTTAATAATACTAATTTCCTATTTTCCCTGGCCAGGTAGCTCAGTTGGTTAGAGCATCGTCCTGATACATCACGGTTGCAGGTTCAATCTCTAGTCAGGGCACATACAGAATCAACCAATGAAGGCATAAATGGGCGGAATGACAAATTGGTGCTTCTCTCTCTCTCTGTGGAATCACCGAATGGAAAAAAAAATTTAATTTGATTTTATGGTCGATCATTCATAGAGAAGTTCTACTCTGGAAATAAAGTTAACTTTTTACTCTGAGAGAATCTCTATTATTATATTCTGTTTTATGCATTTTTAATTTTTTTCAGATTTTATGTATGCTCATTATAGAAATCTTAGACAATCGAGAAAGCAAAGAGAAGAGAGTAAAACATAAATTCCACTATTTAGTCACAATGAATATTTGGCATGAACCCTTAATTGTCCCATATATTTACATAATATTAAAATCCGTTCAGTAATAATAGGTAGAAATAATAATTTCCAGTGCTTTGTTTATCAATATATAACATGTTTATATAATATTTGTTTATCTAATGTTTGTTTATCTAATATCTGTTTTGTATATGAGCTTTTTGTAAAATAACACTTTGATTGACCACAGTTCTCCACCTATACCACTTACCATAATTCTTACTTCTAATGAATACAGAAAAATCTATTTAACAAGAATTAAATCATTGTTATTTTGAAGCTCTAAATAGTTAAGAAATGCATTAAGAGTATTATTTTAGAACTTTAAAATGTTTATCCTTTAAAGAAAGACAAGCACTTGCCTTCATCTCCATCATCCCCAAAGGGGTAGAAGAGAGCGACAGCCAAGTTGATGAACACGGCCAAGTTGAAGGATATGCTCCCCCAGAGAGAGATGTGCCTGGAGAACCAGAACAGCGCAGGGTTACCTAGTAAGGAGGACGTGCAATGGGGACAGAACAGAAAATAAATTTTGGTTTCAACACGCTAGCCCTGCTGAAATAACATTTTACTAAATGCATTTTTTGTAAACTAGTATGAAGCATATTTAAATAAACATTTAATATGACTTGTTTTGAAAGTTTATAATGGATACCATAAAAAGGTTTTTATTTCATTCCTTCTTTATCCTTTAGCCAATTCACACCTAAAAATTTGTAGAAGGCTGCATAATTCTGCGATTGCTAAAGGTGGACAGAAAGGGTGATTCTAATACATCCCTAGAGCAGATTGGGGGAAAGACAGTTTAGAAGCTGCCTGGGACCTTTTTGAATGGAATGGTATATAGACTGCTATATAATTGAGTAAAATTGAGACATCTGTGCCATTCCAGTGCCTTGAAGTCAAACAAAAAACCCCAAACCTTGGCACACATGTATCTCTAACGAAAATTCCTGTGACGCAGACAGTTACCTAAAACTCTGAAACTCACTAGCATGGCACAGTACCACTTCCTGGGAACTAGGGATTTAAATGCTATCTAAGCTTTAAACATTCATATTTACTAAGAACTTTTTGGGTTTGCAACAGCAAAGGTGAGAGACACAATACGAATTACCAACAAGTGACAAAGGCTTTGCTGACTATTTCCAGAAAAGGGACTCTGTGTTTGTCGGCAGAATGGAAAAGCAAATGCATCTATTGCATACAATTTACATTAACCAAACATCAGTTCTTTCCACCATTCTTAAGTAATTGAACAGAAATGAAATACACACAAGTCTGACCATATGACTCCTTCAGGTCCATTCTCTAACCTAACATGAAGTTAACTGAGGGGGAAACGCACATCAACTTCCAAATAAAAATTATAAACTTTTCAATTACTTTCTGTGAATTCCAATCTCTACGGTACGTTTCTCAGTCATAAGCTGTACTACCCTCAGGACACAGTGCTTTCTTTTCGTGGACTGCGGCATTTCAACACTAGAATAGGCTGTGACTACCCAGGGCACTGAGTTGACTACTTTATCATAAATTGTAAACATCTGCATCTCCACACTCCCAAATTAGGAGTCCTTGTTTTTAAAAGCACAATATGAAGAGAAAATTAGAAGATGTTGATGCGTACATTGGTAACAATAAATCTATCAGATGAATTAGATTCTGTATATAAACTCACTATAAGGTACATCCAATTTTTAAAAGTACAATGTACATTGGAAGTTATTTTAAGACTTGCTTTTTGATACATGTTTATTCCAAAGAAGCATAGACCCCACAAACACTAGTTCATTATGCAATTTACCTTTTGTCAAGGATAAAAATGTGGGTTTGTCAAATGTCCCAGGTAAAAATGTCAAGTCCTCATATGTATTCTGAACACACCAAATTTTCTCTGAATTCTGTAAGATTCTATGTGGTAAAATGTCAAGGGAGAGTAATTTCTTTATTTATTTTTTTCCTATATTCTGCTAGGAAAGGCTGACAATGCATGACACCATCTTATCTTCAAGGATGATATGTTTCAAGCTCCACTCAAATTCAAAAACTACAATCACTAAAATTCTTAGAAAACTAAAATGACGAAGTGATGTGGAACAGAGGTATCGAGAACATATACCTGTTTGTCTGGAAAATTTCCCCATAAGATGGCAAAGACCTAATCTAGAGTTTCCTCCTATCAATTTTTGTTAAAAGCTCATGATATTACTTATTTGGGAAAGTTAAATTTTATTTTAAATCTTAATTTTTTATTTTAAACTTTAAATATTTAACATTTTATTTTCTTTTTTGTATTTTATTTAATCTTTATCGTATTTTTTTACATGATCTTTTAGACCCCCTATAACCACTCCACCCAGCCATCACCACGCTGTTGTCCATGAGTCCTTTTTCTTTTTGCTCCATCCCTCCACCCCTAACCTGCACCCCCCTCTAGCTGTCACCTTCTCTCCATCTATGAGTCTGTCCCCATTTTCCTTGTTAGTGCAATTTGTTCACTAGAGTCCACATATGAGTGAAATCATATGGTATTACAATAAAACCCTAGTAAACATTTACTCATCCAGCACAGGAGCACCTAAATATGAAAAGCAAACCTTGATGGACATAAAGGGAGAGACTGATTAAGTTTTTTTTAAATTTTAAACTTAAAATATTTTAATTTTAAAGTTGAGTACTTCCAAATAGACTTGAGGCCTAAGAGGTAAGTCATGGCAACTCATTTATGCTCATTTTTAACTTTAAAATTGTAACATTTCTATTTGAATACAAGTGTCACAAAACTTTTAGTTTGATTTGACAATGTAAAGATAGGTAGAAAGAGAGAATGACATTCAGAAAAAACATTAAACAACCCACTGCATCATAAAATTACAAGACAAGAGAGGATGAGCAGGCGGGTGCCAGTGTCTCTCCATCCGGTTCACTGACTGCTGGGCCGGTCAGCGTTTATTCCGGGACTTCAAACCTGCAGTTGTTCAACAGTCAAAACATACAGCTGCAACCTTGTATTTCATAATATTTATAAAACTATGGGATTGGCACTAAAAGATGATCTAATTAGTCAGAGGTTTCTGTTTTCATTAAGCCGCGGGTGTCTCAGCCCCAGTGGTACACTGAGCTTACATTCTTAAGCTTGTAAGTGATTTCAGTAACATCAGATGGCAAAACATTTAAAACTAATTTCAAAGAATAATGTCGTGTCCTAGAGTACCAACGTATCCACCATTACCCCAAAATGCACCATCTCAGTTTACTGTACTTACTCCGGATTTTCTTCTGCCACTTCATCTCGTTGTAGAGGTGTTCCGTTTGCTGGAAAAAGTCATTCACTTTGCTTCCTTGCTCATCCCTCTCAGTTGTGTTGAACACGCGACACTTGGACTCCCGCGTGAGGTACTCGCAGATGTTGGGGACAGGGAAAACTATTTGCTCCATAGTCCTATCGTGCCGAACAATCTGAAAACAGTGATTTACCTGTGTTTTAGCCTTCAGTCACCTCAGTCTTAGTGTATTTTCTTTTTTTAGTACAAGTGTATTCGTGGTATTTTATAAATTCAGTTAATGAGAAAAATATGCCAGTTTGAAGTATCCAAGATAGTCCTTTACTGCACTAATTCACGTTTCTCTTTAAGTAAGAAAAACTAACTGATTAAAGTATCATAAGTTTGCTACCTGGTGATAAATAACAAAAACCAAAATCTTCATTCTTTCTGGGTTAACATTAATCCTATTTTTATTTTCTCGAAGTACAGGAGAATTAAGAGGGTGTTAATTAGAAGTGATTGGCTAGTCACCTTAAACCCAGAGCATGGTATATCTGTATCTTGTTCTTAGCCTGTTTCTCCTAAAAAGCGCTAAGAAAATGACAGACTCAACATGATGTCAGTCACAGGTGCTTTACATCATTAAACTGTTCTTCTAGTCATGGCAAAACATAATGTTCATGGGTATAATATCTATATAGTACACACCTATGTATAAATACTCATTATATTAAACTACTCTTATTTGGCATTTTGTGATAATTTATCATTGCACTGAAAACCAGGCTAATATTTTCATACAGTTTTAACAAGTTAACAAGAGTCTGTGTAGAGCAAATCGCCAAGGTGCATGTTTATAGACTCTGCCCAACCCTCATGAATGACTCAAGGCTGGTCTAAGCCAGAAAGACCTTCCATCTCCCTTTGCCACTGCCTGGTATGTTGGTGAGCACGAGACCCAGTTCTGGAAAATGAGGCACAAGGAGAAATATCCTGGGGGAGGCAGAGAAGGTGCTTCCAGGAAAGACTTTGTTTCCTGAAGAGGCAGAAAGCCTTTGAGACAAACAAATAATAACAACAAAAAACCTAGCATAAAAGTACTTTTTTTGGTCTATATCCTCTTTCTTCCTGCTTAGTAGAAAAGGTAGCGGAAGGGAATGACGCCTGAGACTTTGGCAGCGATTCCACAGCCACGAGGAGAGATGTCACGGGTGTAATAAAGAAGACCTAGCAGAAGATGGAAAGGCCTGCGTGTTTGGAGATATTACTGAATCCTTACATCAGTCACAGGACTACTGGTATCTGGGAAAATCAAATGCTTTTACTGTTTAAACAACAGTCAGTCTAGTGTTGTTATTTGTGACTGAAGCTCTCCGAAATGGCGTGGTATACATGCAAACTACATACAAGAACACTATGATGAAACAAACAAGAGGAAGTTTAGTGGCGGTAAGTAAAAATTCCTACACATAGGTTTAAAAGAAATCAATTTCACAAAAGAAGAATTGGACCTATTTGGCATGACAGGCAACGAAGTGAGGAGGGGTGGGAGGTTTACATGATCCGACAACATTAAACGTTTCCAAAAAAATCTCAGGGTGCATTCCTGATTATTATAAGCCAAGCTATTCAGCCCATTTGTGACATGTTATGTTTGATTCTGGTGGTTGTCACATTTTACAAGGGGCATGGACAAACTGCAGAGATGACTGAAGGAAGGGGAATGTGTTAACTGTCAAAAAGCAAAGGCAGGTAATTTTTTCAATACACAAATTCAACTAATGCTTATTTAGTCCTCAGCTGAGGAGTTCTGGGGAATTCAAAGTGGAAAACAGCATGAAGCCCTATCTGTGAGCTTGTAGTTTAGTAATCATGATGAGTCTTCAAATGCTAGAGCCACGCTATCATAGTGACAGGGGAGCAGATGCTTGGAACGGTGGGAGAACATGAAAGTGGGCTAGTGTGCACCCTTTACCCCCCAAACTGGATCAGGTCCCTCCTGGAGTGCTGAGATGTCTATCACAGGTAGAACTGGAAGCAGGGACAGAATTATTACAATGGAGTGATTCCTCCTTGGGTGGGTGAGTAGGCCAGGTACGGGTACATAATCCATGAAGTCCTTCCTATTTTCCAAGATCTTTGAGTATATAGCTTATAGACAAAAGTCAATAATTTATTAAAGCTCTATATTAACAGTTTGTACTGAACTCCTGTGTTTCTGCATATTCACACATCAAAAGTAGCGCTTTATGTGCACATATCTCAGTTTTATTATAATTACGACTTAACATTGAAAAAACAAAAATCTCACCGTAAATTATAAACCACTGTTAGTAGAAGTAATCTTCCTCATTTGGATGTTTGTAGCACTCGTTGGCTATTATTTTTGATAATGTTCATTGTTGTGGTTATACTCCAGATATGGTGTTCAGTTTTGGAAATGCAAAGATGTTCAAGACCAAGCCCTGCCTCCAGTAGGGGACAACTGACACATAAGGAGCAACATTATAGGTTCAACTGAACTGAATGATCAAACTGCTGTGGCAGCACAGTGAGATGAAATGAATGAACGTGTGAAGAAAGGAGGGGTGACCTCTCTGAGCAGGCCACAGGAGGTGGTCTTTGAACAAGCATGAGATTCGGTAGATAGTAAAATGCTCGGTGGATGTTTACCGAATTTATGTATTTGCAGCTAAATCTTTCCTCACTGCCGGGAGACTGATAACAGAGCAACGTCAACAACAGCTCCTGTCTCTCACACACTCAGGTATTAACCCAAACCCCACCTCTGGTTTACTCACTATACCGGCTGTCCCTGATCTCATCTAATCACCTAGCTTTGTACTTTGGCTTCTGAAATCTTCCTCAGAACCTTAGTGCTTTGATGGTCTATTTCTATCAGTGTCTCCAGCTTCCTGACCTTGTCGGCAGCCTCCTGGTTCCTAAGCACCTGATGTAGTAAGTAGTATTTTGCTGCGGGTCCAGCTCCTGGTTGTTTTCATTAGGTCAAGTCTCCCGCAAGAGCTATAGCACTATTAAAGTTTCTAAATATTACTAAGAGATCCATTTTGAGACACAAGATAATGTTCATTATTCCAAAGGTTGGACAATAGTAAACAGTAAGGTATAGTCATTATATATCTTGGGAATTAATAGCAGTGATGCCCATCACACAATCTGCTGAAAACTAAAATATGTCTGCCAAAGTGAATGAATGTATGGATGTAAATGACTAGTGACAAGTGTCAACTACTGTACTTGTACTTCTGCCTGATTAGCTCTACCTACTAGTGTCCAAATGATACCATAGCTAGTCAGTGACAGCCAGATGGGTCTCCCAGCACATAATGATAAGTCTTTGTTGACACATACTCCTGATCAGCCACTGGTTGTTAAAGAATGTCTCATTTACAGGGGTGTCAATTGTTGCATACTGAAGATGGAAACTGTTAAACCATCTGAGTTTATGGTATCAACATGGAAACTTTATCAATGTCTTCTGTGTTTCATACACTTCTGAATACTTTCTGACACAGAGATCTCTATTTTAATATGCCTCCTATAGTTTTTTAAAAAGATACCTCTTCTTAAATGATAGCTTCTATTATAATAATCTTTTCTCTAAAACAACACTGCTCTGAAATAGCTGCTTCCATGACCAAAACAAAACCGAACAAAAATCACCTTTCTTATAAAAGAAAACTTAAATATAGTACTGCTCAAAAAATAAAGACAACTTTGATAAATGTACACCTCAAATTTTTATAGATCATTCCTCATATCTTGTCTTTTAGTATACATTTTTACAGCTTATATCAATTTTGCTGTGTTATCCTAGGAAACAATTATAAAAATGGTCTGGAATAAAAAGGAAATATATCTTTTCATAGTTTGTCCCTTTCAAGGAATAACAGATTGTTACCTCAATCTGTGCGGTGTGGTTGGCATAATACTTTAAGGCTTCATCTCCATCATCTGGATCTGACCCTGGTTTGAGCATCTGCTGTAGTAATTTGTTGTGACGGGCCAACTAGAGGAAAAAAGAAGGAGAAAAAGGTTTTAGATATTTCCCTTTTCCTGGAGACAAGCTTTGAAATTACTTTCTCCACCTATACACACAGCTTCACGGTTCTGGGGCCAACAGCAATTAATTACATTTCAGGAAAGTATGTCTATTTGAAAGGCATAAAAAATTAATTCACAAGGATCAGCTATTACTACATCAATCACATTTCAATAGCATATTTATATGATCTTAGCATGAGAAAACTATGTCTTCTCTACTCGGTTAATATATGTTGATTAAATTTATATCTTTCATACATGTACAACTATGTCAGGAAAAAGGAAACCCCAGTAATATATAACTCATATTCCCTGTAATAAATTTAATCTAGATGAACATGTAAAACAACTTGGTCAACAGCGTGATAATCCCGTGTGTATGGAACTGATATGAATGGCGGCTTCTTATATGCACATAAATATTTACCTATATTTCAGAAGAGTTTCTCTTATGGTATCTAATTAAAGCTCTATATTAGCAGTTTGTACTGAACTCCTATGCTTGTCATATTCATACATCAAAATTGGCACTTGGTGGGCACATATCTCGGTTTTATTATACTTACACCTCAACATTTGGAAAACAAAAATCTCACCATAAATTATAAAGCACTGTTAGAAGTAATCACTCTCATTTGAATGTCTATGGCATTTGTTGGCTAATTCTCTCACTTTATAGATAACTAACACATATTGCCTTCACTATTTTATGGATATCTTAAACAATTCCTGAAACCTTGAAATGTCTTTTATGTTCTAGATATTCTATTTATGCCTCAAGTTCCCTGAGGACTTCTAGTAACAAAGACTATCCATATAACTCTTTTATTCCTAACATAGTTTCTATCTCTTATTCTGTGCCACTCACTACCCTAAATAGTTACGTACATGGTCCCATTTGACACTACTGAGAAACCCTGGGTTGACACTCTTATTATCCCCATTTTATAGATGGGGAAACCAAGGTATAGAGCATTGAGAGACTTGTCTGTGATAACATAGCTAGAAAATAATAGAACCAGTATTGAACTCAAGCAGTGTAGTTTCAGAGTCAGTATTTTATCAGCAGTACAGAGTATTTTATCAACAGTACAGAGCAATAAATAAGTCTTTGTATTATTCATGGAATGTTAATTCACATTGTGATTATAAAGAATGGAGATAAATTTTAAACAATAATCCAGGACTTACATAACCAAATAAGTATTATCTTTGTAAGTGATAATTTGGTAACAAATATTCATGCCATTGATGCTGCTTTAGAGTAAATCATTTTTGAAACTATTTTTTTCAGAATTGAATTTTAGGAATATTTATAAATCACTCAAAAAATCTATTTCCTGTTTTATATTTACATTTTATTTTTGACTAAATGTGAATTATACAGATTTTTATTTTAAAATATAGTCACTTAACTTGTGACTTGTAGGTGCTTTCAAAACTCTAAATGCATTTCAAAATAAAATTACTCTAGTCATTTAAAAACATTAGCATATATTTAAAGAAGGGCTGGTTCTTGAAGATAAAACTAGACTGATTTGTTTATACACTGAATCAGGGACTTGAGAAAAAGAAAGGAATTTAGGATAACTCCAAAATTATTAACCTGAGCAACTAAAAGTTTAGAAATGCCACTTAATAAGAAAAAAATGCAGGAGGAGCATATTTAGGGGGAGAAAAACGGGACTTTGGTTTTGGACACAGGAAGCCATAGACATCATCCAGGAAGAGACGGCCAGCAAGCTGCTGCATGTGTTTGTCAGGAGTTCCGGGCAGAGGTCAGGGCTGGGTCGTCAGTGCATGGCTGGTGGTTAACATCATAAGCACTAATGAGATCCCCTAAAAGTATGCTTACACAGAGAAAATAGAACCAAGGATCTCCAGTACAAGTTAGGAAGATGAGTAGCCTCATCAAAGAAGACTGAGAAAGTCGAGCCAGCGAGGTACAAATAAAACCAGTGAGACCAAGTGCCCTGGCAAGAAAAGGAGGAAAGAACTTCAAGACGCAGGGAGTGATCACCTGTGTCAGATACTGCTGACCGTCTAATCAAGTGAGGACTGAGGAATGGCCACTGGTTTTAGCAGCTTGGAAGCCACTGGTAACCTTGACAGTAGCAGTTTCAGGGAGTGATGGACACCAAAACCTATGCATTACGTTTAAATAAGTGTCGGACGACAGGAAGTCAAAAACCATGAGAACAGGCAACTCATGAAAAGCACTGTTGGGGAGCCAAGAAATAGGGTGGTAGCTAGAGAAATGGATAAGGCATAAGGGAGGGATTTTCAAAAGATGGATATTATTATATCATGTTTGTTTAATTTCTGAGAGAAATGAAGCATTTGCTAGAGCAACATCTTAACTAGGTAAGAATGGAATCTTCTAGTATGTAAATGGAAGGATTTGCCCTAAATAAAAACACATTCGCCTGGTGAAGGTCAGTACACATGTTTGTGAGGCCAGTGAATGAGGCTAAGTAAACATGTTTGTGTGTTTTCCTCCAGAGGTTCACCTGTTTCTTGCCATAAGGCATTTAAGTAGGCACATGGGATCTAAGTGGAATAAGGAAGGAAGTGAAGCCAGGAGGGACAATGAAAAGGTGGCAGGATCAATTAATTGTAGCTTCTAATGTTTAAAAAATATATTGGAAGCCCTGGCTGGTGTAGCTCAGTGGATTGAGCACGGGCCTAGGAACCAAGCAACCACGGTTCGATTCCCAGTCAGGGCACATGCCTGGGTTGCAGGCCAGTTCCCAGCAGGAGACATACAAGAGGCAACCATACATTGGTATTTCTATCCCTCTCTCTTTCCCTTCCCCTCTAAAGATAAATAAATTAAATTTAAAAAAATATAGTGGAGCTGAGATGCTAGAAGAATTAGAAGAAATGCTACTTAGGAAGGCTTAGTCGGAAGGCTTAGGCTTAGTAGTTGAAATGGAACTTACTGACAAAGTGCAGGAATCAGTGACTGACAGGTGTACCCACATGTCTATCACCAAGGTGCTTCTCACTTGTCCACCACTACCCTTGCCAGAGTCACCTGGAATACGGTGGTAGCCTTTTAACTATCCCCCTCCTCCATCGTTGTCCTCTAGTGTCTAGCCTTAACACCAGAGCCAAAGTTATCTTTTTGATCAGATCATGCCTCTTTGGCTCAAAAACCTCTGAAGGCTTCCATCTCCTTTAGCATGAGGGCCGAGTCTCTACCAAGGCCGATAAGGACCACAGAATCTGGCCCAGCTGCCTTTCTGAACTTCCCACAGTCCCAGCCACACTGGGCTCCTGACTATTCCTTCAATCTGAGAAGCATGTTTCCATCTCAAGAATTCGCAGTTGCTGTCTCCTTTGCCTGGATTCTCTTCCTCCAGATACCTGCATGGCTTGCTTCCTCACTTACTTAAGGGCACCTTTTCAATACTGTCTTATCAATAACCACACTTTAAGTAATCGACTCACACACTTTGCCTAACACATCTAACACCACTTCCTGCTTTACTTCTCCCCACAGCATACTATGATCTGACATGCCATATTTTATAATCAATCTCTTTATTAACTATCGCTCCCATAAGAAAGTAGGCTGATAACCTTCACAACAGCATGGATGGAACCGGAGAGCATTATGCTAAGTGAATAAGCCAGGCAGTGAAAGACAAACATAATTTCACCTATAAGTGGAACCTAATCAACAAAACAAACATGTGAGCAAAACAGAACCAGAGACATGGAGATAAAGAACAGACTGACAGTGACCAGAGAGGAGGAGGGTGGGGGATGATGGAGGGAAGAAGGGGAAGGGTCAAGATAATAGGGGGGAGGATTGAAAGTGGAAGGTGGGTAGGGGAGAGTAATGGGGGGGAATGGGACAACTGTAATTGAACAATGATAAAAAAATAAAAAATATATAATATATAGTAAAAAAGAAAAGAAACTAGGTTTATGAGAGACTTGGAAATAAAGAACAGTCTGACGGTGGCCAGAGTGGAGGGTGGTGGGAGATAACAGGGGAAAGAAGGGGAAGGATCAGTCAAGGAACATGTATGTAAAGGCCCCGGGGATGCGGACAATGGCGGGGGGTACTGAATGTGGGAGAGGGGGTGGGCACGGCAGCGGAGAGCAATAGGGGAAGCATGGGGACAACTATAACTGAATAACAACAAACAATTTTAAACTGCAAAAAAACAAAGAAAACAGAAATCTTGGAGGGAGAATGAAGGATCAGAGATTGTGAGCACTTTAATTAGAGGAAATTTTTTTAAAGCGTTCATAGCCCGCCATTTTTTGATAAATGTCTATACAGGTATCTCATAATAAGGAGCAGCAAACCTTTAGTAAGATAAACAAATCCAGTGGAACTAAATGGTATAATAGACTAATTTATGGCATTATCACCACTAGAATAGGTGATAAAACTCCACCTTCCTGAAACATAAATTCATGACACACCAAAAAAGAAAAAAAGCAGGCTTATGTATTAGAGGACATAGATTTTCATCTGTGTGGTTCACTGCTATATTTTCAGTGCTTAGTCCGCTCAATGTATATTTGTTTAATACCTTGACTGTAAGTATTAGAACATTTACATCTTAAATAAAAGATACATTTCCAAGGTGAGGCATTGATTTGAATAATTTCTCATAAATTTATTAATTAAAAAGCTTTTCTTTCTTTAAAGTCACTTTATAGCAGGGGCGTCAGACTCATTTTCACCAGGGGCCACATCAACCTCGCAGCTGCACTCACGGGGCTGAATGTAACGCTGGGACTGTGTAAATGCAACTGTTCAGTTGAGTGAGAGGCTCAGTACTGCCACTGGGCAGAAACAAGGTGCCGGGCTGGATAAAACAAGGTGGAGGCCGGATTCAGCCCATGGGCCTTGTGTTTGCCCCCTGTGCTTTAGAATGTCAAAAATTACTATGATTATTTTAAGAAGCCAATAATGCTATTTTATGTGACATAATAGTGAAA